TACACTTTACCGTCAGGAGGTCAACGGAGTTCGAGTAGTAATCCGAAGCTATAATTCCAGATGACAATCATCGACGTTATTCTAATTGCGTAAGTCATATTTTCTATCATATTCAGTGCATTGTCACGTATTTATTCCTACACAATTCCTTTAACCATTCATACTTCCGTTCGAACACAATGGCAGAATACAGTTTGAAAGTTTCAACTTGTCTCATTCCAGATTTTGACGAAAGTTCAGAAAAATTAACAAACAAGAGAAAAAAACTCAAGGTCGTCTTCACAAATTTCAATGTCTAAGAAGGCAGTCAATCCTGCAATGGATCCATTGTTCTCCATTTTTGATTCGATGAAAATTTTGTTTTTCTACTTTTTACCATCAATTACTGATCAATTATTATTGTTATACTTATAAAAATCACTGTTGCTCTTTTATCCTATTGAAGTTTGTTAATCAACTCAATTTTGAATTTACAGCTGTTGTCTTGTCCATTTCAATTTCTTCTTTATATAAAATCATGTTTGGTTTCTATTGTAGATACACTTTGCTAATCTGACTGAAGATGGCCATTCGAATGGTCGAAACATGTATCAACTTTCAACCTCATTGAAGCAGGATCGACTGCCTTCATAGACATTAAAATTTGTAGAGACGACATCGAGTTTTTCTCTCTTGATCATTCCACTCCACTTTGAGTATGGACTACTACAGAAGAGAATCAAAAAATTTCATTGATGCATGCACAAGCGTGATTCAGTTATGTAATCAGCTCAAGAAACTTCAATTCTGATTGACATCAAGAACAAACTCACAGGTAGAGCAGCAAAAATAATCAATGCAAGAAATTTAAATACTTGGGACGAAATCAAGATTTTGTTGATTTCGCATTTTGGAGACTCAAGGGATTCAACAAGCTTACGGTATGATTTGCAAACAGTGGTTCAAGAGAAAAACGAATCATCTTACTCATTTTGTCATAGACTCGAAGCTCACTGTTCAAAATTCGTACATCTATCAATCCTGATGAACGATTGACTCAAAATCGAAAATCAACGCAAATCAATATGTGCGACGATATTGCATTGAAAACTTTATAAGTAGGTTTACACCCAAGGCTAGGTTCAATAATGAGAGCTCAAAGACCAAATAACTTGAATGAAGCCGCAGATTTCATTGCTAAGGAAGAAAAACTCAATTACCTTCAGTATCGCCAAGAAAAATCTGAATATCCGAAACGAAACCAAAACACCAGTAAGCCAAAACTTGAACAACCGGAATTCTCACTTTACTATTGTCGATATTGCAAAAACAAGGACATCTTCTAGAACAATGTCGACTAAGACAAAGGAATAATTCACGATATCACACTCAGACACAAACTCAACAATCATTCATACAACCACCAGACAATCCACGCAGACCCTTCAATCACACTGAACAGCGTTTCATTCCGAATCATAATCTACAACAAAGTCAAAACAATCATCAATTTTATCCAACGCAAAGTTTCCAACCCTCAAACAATCAATTCCATCAAAATCAAGCACACAATCCTAATCAAAACGACAATAGAAGACAGTTCAGTCGAAATGATAGACGAAGAGTTAACCTTTCAAACTACCAATTAGGGCAGGAAATGAGCAACCTGACTCTAGGAGAGAATACCGCCCCTCACAAAGCTCACAACACCCAGTATACGCACAACACTCAGAACACTCAGTACACTCAATATCTCAATGCTCTCAAAGTTCAACCAACAACCAGACACAATTTATACCAACTACTACCACATTGACATACCGACTCTCGGAATAAACCCATGTAACTTATTCTATATAGTCGATAAAAACAACAACAAATTACTAATCGATACAGGAGCTGCAATTTCAATCTGTGAACCTCATGTAGTACCTATAGATATAGAAATAATTGACGAAAGATTAATAGTCCACGGTATTCCAGATACTGATATTTTGATAGAGCAAAGTTTTATGATATTATACATACAATACATAGATTGCGAATTTGATGGTATACTAGGATCGAATTTTCTACAAACGTTTAACTGTGTAATCGATAAACCTAACAGAATACTAAAAACTGATTTCGCTAACATATCATGAAATTCAACAATAACCCGTATCGACGAGAAAGAACACACAGAACAAAATGTTTTCGAAGAACATCCAGTTGAGAATGTGCCGACAGGAAACAAAATTTCTATAAATTCACGATCGATTTGAAACGTTAATTTCGAAATGAATTTTCCTGATTCACAACTATTTTGCGAAGGAATAAAATTAAATGAAAACTGCAAAATACCGGCAGCTGTAAGTAGTGATTCTTGGCCGGTTCTACAGCCTCTTAAGGTCATTCGAAGGGTGATTATCGCAATTACAATTCTAATTACCAGAGGCTGAGACCGACCAAGGTCAAGGGTACTTGTTTCAATTGTATTTAGGGAATTAGTCTTACGACCTTGAGTGTAGTATGAGTATATTATGCTGTTATTGTATGTAATGAATGAATAATTGATATACGAACTTGAAGGGTAATCATATACATCCGTGTATGAGATAATGCAGAGTGTGATCATTATCGATGGCAACCTAGAAATTATTTTCTATACGTACACATATCCCGATCTACACAGATCGAATCCAGTTGAAAAGTACCCGAACCCACTGACTAGAAAGCGATGTGTTTTGTGCTAGATGGATTATGGTGGGGCCACTCGAATTTATCATTGTATATCTTCACATCTTGTAGAGTGGTTGTTGTGATAGAATCAAAAAATTCAAGTCAGCGTCACCAAATCCTGTGTAATCTGAATCGAGGTAAAATTATTTCACAATTATCATATTATTTCAAAATATTATCATTGGAATGGCTGTGGACAAACTGGATCTAGATAGAATCAATGAAATGATCAATCAAACATCACAAGAATTTCAAACTATATCATTATCTTCATTGGCTGTGAACAAGAAATATCACATCGAGAAAATAACTGTTTCATCTACGAGATATGGGCAATCTAGTTTATCGTTATTATCTGATAAGGGTAACAAATTCGAAACATGGTTACCAAAGCGAGTGACAGATCGATTGAGTGATGATATATTCAATGAACTGTACTCCCCTTATAGCCTATTTAGCTTGACTCATTTGGGAAAGAGTTCACCTAGTTTGGTAGGGGCAAAAACACGATCTTCAATTGCATTCGTGTTAGATGAAAAGTTCTTTTGAAAATATCATTCCATGTCATATAATGATAGTGATGATTGTTGGAAATAATATACATATATATTGTAAAATATTTTCCTCTCAGATAACGTTTCATTGAAAAAAGTCTCATTGATGTGGGTATGATAATTTCATCAGTATGAATATTATTATCACTGGAACTGTTTACGTTTCCAGTGATTTTGGTACGTCAATATGTGTGCAATACTCTCAACAAGGATGGCCAGAAGCGACAGACATAAAATCAGCAATTGACCGACTAAGATGTGAGTTCGATGATCAAAGTTTTGATGCTCTACATTCCACCAACTATGATATGAATATATGTTTTGATGACGATGCTATTCAGATATTCATGCGGCTTCATGAGGAGTATAATGCTGGTTCGGGTATATGTAATAAATTCTTATATGGAAGTTTGAACTTGGTACAATTTTGTGAGCAACTTGTTGATGTTGGATTACGAGATTTCCTATTCCAATTGACACCACACTCATCGAAGATCCGTGAAGGATACCATCTACATGAAGATAATGAACAATGTACAGGGTTATCCATCGAGAAGGCCCACCCCCATATTTCCGTTATACCTCCACTTAGAAAAAAAAATAGTATGCGGAAATTCAATGCCGCAATGAGACCTTTCTAAGGCATTCATCAGAGGTTATACAGGGTGATTCCCAAGAGCGTGGCAAACCACAAATCAATTTTTTTGAATAGAACACCCTGTTTTTCATATTTTTTTCGAGATCTGTGATTTTTCGCGATCACAAATATATAAATATACAGTATGTAATCTTCCACTGTTTTCCGTTAATGACAATTTTCCTGGTCCCAGAACAACATTTTGTGTGGGATGGCATCTTTATCGTGCAACTATAGAGTTATCCATGATAGAGAATGTATTCGACTCCCGTTATTTTTTTTTCCATCTATTGGAGCGCACGGAAGGAAATTCCTATAATGTTCGAAGAACATCGAAAATCGTGCATACCTGATGAATTTTGTAATTGTTCACCCTCTGAAGCATTTTTGTTATTTTTTATGTATGAAGACATTATATCATATCTTTCTGCGATTGTAATCATTTCGACAAATTTCGACACACAAAATAACTAAAAAATTTTCGAACTTTTTTTGTGACGGTAACATGAGGACACGACATGTCAAATAGTTTCGGTTTCAAAACTTACTTGATTTATTTTGATGCCATCACACACAAATTTTGGTTCTGGACCACAAAAATTGTGATTAACGGAAAACAGTAAGAGATAACATACTGTATAATTATATATTTGTGATCGCAATAGATCACAGATCTCGAAAAAAATATAAAAAACAGGGTATTCCATTTAAAAATATTGATTTGTGGTTTGCCACGCTCTTAGGAATCACCCTGTACAACCTCTGATGAATGCCTTAGGAAGGTCAAATTGCGGCATTGAATTTCCGCATATAATTTTTTTCTCTAAGTGGAAGTATAAGGAAAATATGGGGGTGGGCCTTCTTGATGGATAACCCTGTACATACATACATGGAAAAATTAATTATTCACTATAATTGTGATGAATAAAAGGAATATGAATCTGTTTTATTTTTGCAGGATATCAGGAATACATTATGATTGAAGATGATATAGGTATGAGTATAAATATGAGTATAGTAATATATTTCAACTAGCATTTCAATTGAACAGATCCCGTTTGAACAGTGCCATCTAGGGCGCTGTATGTCATACATGCGTCATGTATGATTCATGCATATACCCTTGTATTTTCTGGAAACTTGGTTTTGCGAGTTTCGAATTTCACTTTTATGTCCACTGTTGAAGTCTTCATCGCATCTGGTTGATGACAACAGTCAATGATGAATAGGGGGTTGTCACGAAACTCTTCGATGGTCATCATGGGCTCACTCATATCTTTATTATAATAGTTTCGTTGGAATTGTTCATAAGCATAGTAAGCTGGTGAGTGTAGTTTTTTATCGCAATCGAGATTCCACCTTCCATATAGATAAACTTCTGAGTTGAGATATAGACGGATGTTGTAAACATCAGCATGATTGAATTTTGTTACATCATTCGATCTATCATTGAGATCGTAAGTGTGTTGAAATCCAATAATTATATATCGAGAGCGTTCGAGACTATTCGTTGTTTTCATTGCCCAAATATATGAGACAGTGTCTCGTAGTGATGATAATTCATATAGATCCCATATTCTATGTGCTAATTTGACTTTAGCTGTATTATTTCTATTTATGCGGTTGAGTAATTTGAGCTTTTGTCTATCTTCTGGAATGATGTGTTTGATTTTCCATTCGATTCTACTCATCTCCAAATCAGCATTAACCTCTTCAATGTACGAGTTTTTGAATGTGTGAGCAATTATGAGTATGAGCTCTTGCTTCACATTCAGAATTCCTTCAGTGTAATCTTCAGCAAAGCCCATCAGGTACTTCAAAAGCAATTTTCCACTGAAGATGTGACTATGGTAATCCAAAACATCTTGCGATGCCTGTTTGAGACCCCATCTGGTAGTTTGAAGCGATGTCATATGCGTTTGTCCATACGATTTCATAGTTTTCATTGTAGTAGTTATACCAGGATTTCGAATCACATCTACTTGTTCACCTTCCATTTCATAACAGTGCATTATTTGATGAATAACAAACTTTGTGGTAGGATCAGTAGGAGTGAATTTACCTTCGATATATATGAAACTTTCTGCGATGTCCTGTATCAGATCTTGGAAGTTGATAGGGATTCGAATTTTGTCTAAATTTTTATGATATGGTGAACCATTTGGCTTGTATGTGTGTTTATGGAGACTAATTAATGAATGATCCAGAATTGGTTCATCAGAACCTTTCAATTTTTCACTAGTAGTATGAGCCACCATAGTTGTTAAAATTTTTTTCGTAATTTCAGTCCAACAATATTCTTGAGAAAATTTCGATCGTCAGCTTATATATCTTGACTGCTAGGGACGACAACGTGGAATGAACTTGGAATTGTTCATGCTCTTTCTTATATGCGTTTGGCAAGCTGATGATATCCTATCAGATCGTCTGAATGAGAATCCCATCGTCGATAACTCACGATAATTTCCTCAGTTCCAGTTTTAATATAATTTTTACTCCTCGAAATTCTATCAATGCACCGTTATCATTCAATATACTCAGAGTGATGTTGTCAATAAACTGACATCCTCCAGGTCTCATCAGCATATAAATAATATACTGCGGCTCTTCAGACAATTTGAACCCAGGTTCTATATCTATATCGAATTCGAATGAAGTATGTGCTTCTTCACCATTGAAATACGCTTTAGATGTAATATTGCAATCGACTCGATTAATTCTTACTCGCATAATATTCACGGGTAATGTTGATTCATGTCGTTTATTCGCTTCCAAGCACAGAGCTTCGAATCCTAAAAGGGATGCCATGGAATTCTCATGTGTTGAATCGGTCTCTAATTTAGATTGAATTTCACATCTCAAAGTATTATTGTTGGCATGTAATGAAAATATCGAATGTTTATCATTTATCGATGTATCCATTTTTAGTTTCATTATATTTTATATAGCTCTATTGATTTCATCGATCTCGTAGACTCCTGGAGGGATTGATATAGTAACAAGTGAATCATCTGATTTTAGTCTGTAACTGATTATATTATTTTTCTCGTCTACATTGAAAATGGAATTGTATGAGTTAAATCCATGCAATCCCAATCCATAACCACTGTTCACATCTGATTCGATTGGTGGGAAGAGGTTTGCACTCAACACACTCGTGTCTCCACTTGAAGTGAATGTTCGCGACATGACTGATGAGCAAATTCTTCATCATCTCATTTCATTGACCACATATCATGACCTCAATCATCATACAGGAATCAATCCAAGTCTATACAGTAACATCCCAAATTCATGGAAATATATTGAAAGAAATTATGAATTGATGAAGTTAATATATAGGAGAAATTGGAAGTAACGTGTAGAAGAAAAAAATTACATATTATGATTGGAATAGAATTTATTTCCCAATAATATCAATTCGGTCAACACCTATGGTTCATAAAATTGAGAAGGGAATATTGAATTATTTATTTTATTGTTGTTTGCAGCATGCAGTGATGGAATTTTGCTTCTTCATTTCAGAAGGTTTGCACTCTATTTCATCATCGGCTCCTACGTTGACATCCCTCATATTGCAATAGCAACAGAATATTCTTCTGGGCGTTGGTCCATCGTTAACATCAATCGTTACATTCTCTTCGTGATGTCCATCACAGTACTGATATTTCGAAATATCTATGTCGTTTTGTAAATGCCTAGGTAGCTTATCCCATACCATAATAATCTCATGTGCAGCACAAGCAATTATTACTTCTTTCGGCATATCAGTAAGCTCTTCTGCCGTCATCTTCAATAAGCTTCCTACTTTAGAATAGGCTTTCAGGGAATGCCCCATACGTTTGATACTCTTGCGATCCATGAGTGACTTGATAATTTCATGTATCACTGATAGTAGACAAGAACTTCAAGCACAAATGTTCACACCAGACTGTATTGTATTTTTGTTCGCGATTATAATTGTATAGTATTTCGAATTTTGCTGTTGAACCACTATTAAAATATTGAATCAATTCCTTAGGTGGGGGTAAATCACCATAACTGTCGAAATATTCGATTACCCTACCACTTTTCCTATATGCAACCCAGTGAGTTCTAGGGCCTCTGATTGTATCTAGATTCATGATAGCAGATTCGTTGCGAAATGGCCCGAAAGAAGGTTAACTGGGGAGCCTTGCCTGTTGTGCAAAATTTTCAATGTCAATATCGCTCAGATGTCTTCGAGGTAGGGGGTCTATTAGTTTTTCGAATTCGATGGTTTTAGGAAGATACCCAGTCCTTTTCTATAGGATTTCAAATAAACACCTTCAATGCCTCCAACCTTGGGTACTGGAATTACCCGAGGCGTACGGATATTCTTCTTTCCTCCAGCAACTTTCAAATATTTTTGAGCAGCTGCTGAAGCTATAGTCGTCGCTTTCTCCATATCATTTGCGAGTTTTGTTTTTCCACCTGCTAGGCGGTGAGCTCCTCGAACTTTATGAACTATTCCCGATCCGAATGCTATTTTCCGTGTTTTTTTCCCTCGACGTTTGAATTTCTTGACTTCACGACAACCCATGCCAAAACGTCGTTTTCCTTTCATTATATTGGTCACCAACCAAGCAGCACTTCTTTCTCCTATGCTTGCGTCTCTTGACTTTGCTCTTTCCCACGCTTCCTACTCTAATTGTTCATCTGCTTTATGTCTAGCACTTTATCGAGACTCGTTCATCCATAGAACGGCTAGGCTCTGGAATTCATTGCCTGTGAAAGTATTCCCAACAACATATAATCTCCAAAAGTTAAAAAAAAATTCCAATACCTACCTCCTGTCCCTATCCTCCCTAGGAACGCACGGTGTTCTTTGAACATTATAGGGATTCCCTTTCGTGCGCTTCAAGCGATAAAAAAAAAAAAAATTCTGAGAGTGAGCAATATCGTGTTTCTAACATGCGATATCCAACTTTTTTATTCCAGGTTCTCCTCTTTCCAATCGCTCCTGCAATTTGGTTCCAGGACCGCAGTACTGATAACCACCAGGTATATGTAATTCGAATGGAAGTTTGTTGATTAGTGTATTAACAAAACCTTTACCACTTTTGATCATTTCAGATGAGGTTCTGCGTCTGCATCGTTCGACTATCATCATATGAATGAGAAGTTCCTTACGTATCCATGTTTATATATCATTCGACCACCAAAAGATGCACATTGTTGAACAGAAGGAACAATTTGTTGTATATAATTGAAATGGAAAAATTAGATATGGAACTGAAAGAGAAAATTTGTCACGACATGGTAATTCATTACCTTATATCGTACGTGGCCTCATCATCGGTCCATCTAATTGCGGCAAAACGAATGTGATGATATCTTTGTTGACTCATCGTCATGGCCTGCGCTTTGCAAACGTATATTTATACTCCGAATCACTTAGTCAGCCAAAGTTTGAATATCTACATAATGTAGGAGGATGAGGTCTTCGGATGAAAATACGACACAAACACTGTAACACCCTATATTTAACTGAACTCGACTAATAGCTTACAAGACAAGTTGTTACTCGAAAGGTACAAACAGGAATGAATCTATAATTCATAGATGGTTATATCATCGACGATAGCTCATCTCCTCTGACTCACTACCTTGTCATGTCTATGACTCGGCATCATCCTGCAATAATGTATTGAAACCGATAAGTGGACTAGGATTTTATACATTTAGCAATAATACAGAGGTGATGAATCCGTCGGAGGCTGAATCAGATTCCATATTCATTTTTGATGATGTGATAAGTGAAAACCAAGATGTTATACGATCATATTTCAGTATGGGTCGTCATAGCCAGGTGGACTGTTTTTATTTAGCGCAAACAAACTCGGGAATTTCAGAACAATTGATCCGCGACAACTCCAACTTCATAGTTATGTTCAAGCAAGATGTGACAAATTAACATCAAATTTTTTCTGATCACGTTTCACCAGATGTCACTTTTAGAGAATTTCAGGATGTGTGTGGGGAATGTTGGATAGATCATTGACAAAGACAGTGATATACGTGATGATCGATATAGAAAAGGATTTGATAGCTTCATATATCAATGATTCCCGATCGTCACAGAAGCTGTACGTACTGGGTAATGATGAAGATTGGAATGGATGAGAAAACAGAGAGTGACATCAATTTGAAACGTCAATTGATCAAAGCGACAGATGCAGTGAGACAGAAATTCAATACTATCAAGAGTAATCGTACCAAAAATATATGAACCTATTACGAAACCACTGAACGTAATATCTGCTGAAACTGTAGCAATACCGAAAATCAATAATTTGTCGTCCTTCACAAAAACAAGTATAATCATGTCGAATAATATAGCCTATACAACATTATCTGCAAGTTCACCAAAATATAACGGCCGTAGTGATACTACCGAATTTTATTCGCCATCATGGAGAACTAATATTGTACCTGATTCCACAGAATCACATCTCATGAATACGCCACCTTTGTCAACAATATCTTCAACATCTTCAATGAATGACGATAATACCATTCAAGTCGCTATTCAGGAGCAAGATATAATAGCAAATTGACACATTGAAAATTTATTATCTGGGGACTCACGTTATGATAAAGCTTATGGTGTTTATATAGATTCCAAAACAAAAAATATTAAGATTGGTAAAGCTGAAGTAAGTTTTCCTATAGAAAACATTATGATCCGAATAGGGAAAACACAGAAACGGTTCGCAGCTGATTCACAATCACATGATATGATATTCCTCAAGAAACCACCAGAAAATATAAAAGAAGAAAATACGGCATCATTTGCCGCTAAAATGCAACTGACACGAGCACCATACAGGAATTCCGATCTCAGGCAAGAACTTGATACGTCAAGTTCGAGGAAATGTTATGATTCAATCAAACCATCCGTCCTTACTCCATATGAAATAATAAAAAAAAGGTGGAATAATGGAGCAGATCCTATCAAAAAAATATTACACTACGTCAAGAAAGGAATATGTGTATTGGAATAGACCCAAACAACTAATTGATCGACTTAGATTATTATGGAGTTCGAAGATGGCTCGACATACTGGGCATAACAACGGAATCATATCTATAATCGACGAGTTGCGAGGAGACGGTATAGTATATTAGATTTGATAGCTATATGGAGAGAACATTGTACAGCTTATCAGTAGTAATCTACAATCGAATCGAGATGGATCCATAGACGAAGCGAAGATATGAATGATCTTAAACGACA